TGACCTGGCGTTCAGGCCGGGCTGATTCTGTGACAGCAGATACTGACCTGTCCCTAAGCAGTGCCCTGACCTGCAGAATCTGCCATCTCTCTCTCAGCCTCAGTTTCTCATCTGCGAGTGAAGCTGTTAATGCCTGCCCTGCACTGTGAAAGTCTATTATTGTAAATGGCCACCCATTGCAGACACTCTCTTAGGCCACCACGTTGGTGCTGACAATGAAAACGTCCCGTTTTTTCTTCCTCCCCCCATGGGAGGACTCACAAAGTGAGCTGAAACAGCTGCATTCCTCTGAGTGTAGGTAGCTTTATTTACTCCTCTCTGTGGGCTGAGAGACCCCTGCCTCCTGCCCCTCACCAGGCAAGGAAAAGAGTAGGATTTGTTGTGGCCAAGCATAGGGAGAAGGCGTTGGCCTCCTCGTCCTCCTTCACTTCCTCTCTTCTGGAGACCAAAGCCAGGAACAGGTGATGTATAGGATCCAGATAAGGTGTCTACAAAACCCCCAAATACCAAACTCAGTGCCATCGATTCAATTCCAACTCACAGAGCCCCTATAGGACATAGTAGAACTGCTCTAAGATTGCGAATCTTTATGGGAGCAGACAGCCTCAGCCTTCTCCCACAGAGCAGCTGGTGGGCTTGAACTAATGATTTTGTGATTAGCAGCCCAGTGCTTCACCCACAGCATCACCAAGCCTCCTTGGGAGCCTGCATCCACTAACACAGTGCTGTCTGACTCACAGCGACCCTGCATAGGGTTTCTGAGGCTGCAAAGCTTTATGGGAGCAGAGAGCCTCCTCTTTCTCCTATGGTGATCGAAAGTTGATTCCTGAGGCCACCCCAGATGGGTACAGGCCACTCCTGAAATCAGTTTTACTGTAGAATGTCAGTTGCATCTGAACACAGCGTTCACAGATGACTCTGAGTCACTCAAGCCTGGAGGGGTGGCTTCCGTATGTCCTTTTCTCCACCTCTCTGAATGGCACTTTTGCATACTTGCTGCCTTCCACCTGGAGTATCTTCCTATTAACCCCACCCCTGCAACCCTTTGTGGGCTCCAGGTTTGGCTCCATAGCTCTCCTCCACACCATCACCTACGTCACTTCCTTACTCCTTCCCTTGCCGGGAAGTTAGGGCCTGTGGCTGTTCTTTGGCACCACAGCTGGCAGGGTAGAACCTGTGACTGTGATCTTATGGGGAAAGAGTCATTGCAGACGTGGCTGAGCTACGGATCATGAGATGGACCATGCAGTGGTGAGCGTGTCCTCTGATTTCTCTACTCAGGAGATTCCACGTATCCTCCAAGCTGCCTCTGACAGGCCTTGTGGATAGTGCTCTGCGTGTTTTGCTGGCTCCACCATTGTGAATGTCCAACAAAGGACAACCATTGGGGTGCTCTCGGATTGCTGGTGATGATGTTAATCTTTTCCCACTGGGTCTGCACTCATACACCCACCCTTTTGTGTTGTTGTTGTTACGTGCCATAGAGTCGGTTCTAACCCATAGCAACCCTGTATAAGGTTTCTAAGGAGCAACTGGTGAGTTTGAACCACCGACCTTGCTGTTAAAACTGACTTGCGGTCCAGCATATTAAGCCACAGAGCCACACCAGGACTTCTGTTGTAGGACTCTCATTATCCACCCATTATCCACCCAGTCGGCTGGCATTCTTCAAGGTGGGGACCTGGGATTCATTGTCCTCTGATCTGCAGGAATGTTGGAGGTGCTCAGGGTCCATGGGTTAATGCACTCAGCTGGTAGCCAAAAGGTTAGAGGGCAAAGTTCATCCGGAGGTGCCTCCGCGGAATGAGTTGTTTCTACTCTAATACAAGTAGGGATGTCATGAGTCAAAATCAACTTGATAATAATTGGTTTTTAATAGTGTGGTGTAGTGAATTATGTGGGTGAGAGCAGGTGGGAGAAGATGCTGAGAGGATGACGTGATTTACTGTGGATGTCAGAGTTCATCGTGATGGTAAAACTGGAAACTCTAGGTAGATGAGCCATCTTGCTGATGTGAGGGGCTGTGTGCTTCTTTGCTTGAGTAATCAAGCTTGTCTCATCTGACTCTGGTTTTTGGGACGTGAGCCAGAAGCCTGACCTGGTTTGCCAGCTTCCCAGCCTTGTGAGTCTACAGCCCGACTCTGGAGAGTCCTTCAGACTGACCACTGAGCTGCAGAGCTGGGACCAGAGCTTGAAGGTGAGTCATTTCCAGAAGGTCCTTAAGTTCTGAGAGACAGTGCAGTGCATCATGGAAACCCTGGGACTCAGGGAAACTACAGAGGGGAGGAATAGTGGTTGATACCAGGAATTATGGAGTGGTGCAGTTCAAGCTCCCCAGCTGCTCCTTAGAAACCCTATCCAGGGTGGCTATGGGTCAGAACCGGCTCAACGGCACTAAACAACAACAACAGTAGTGGATATAACTTTGTTGGCCTTCAGGTATGACTCTTGTTTAAGGTGCCAGAAGTTCTGGATTCAAGTTCTGGGTGGAGCACTTCCTTAGTATTTGGAGTCCTGGTGTGGCGCTATGGGATAATGCGCTGGATCTCAAGGTTGGATTGAATCGCAAGGTTTGGTGGTTCAAATTCACCAGCCACTCCTTGGAAACCCTATACAGGGTGGTTTTGGGTCAGAACTGACTCAATGGCAGTTAACAACAAGAACAACAATGTGACACTTCAGGGAGTCCTGGTCTGGTTCTGTAGTATAAACCCTAGACTGCTAGCTGCAAGGTGGGTGGTTCAAATCCACCAGCCATTTCGTGGCAACACTATGTAAGGTTGCGATGAGTCAGAACTAACTAGATGACACTAAACAACAACAATATAACACTTCAGTAATCCTGGTGTGGCATTGGAGGATAAGCACTGCAGATGGGCAGTTCAAACCCACCAGCCACTTCGTGGAAACACTATATAGGGTTACTATGAGTCAGAACCGACTTGATGGCACTTAACAACAACAAGATAGCATTTCAGGAGTCTTGGTATACTGTGGGATCAGCACTGGACTGCCAACTGCAAGGTTGGTGGTTCAAACCCATCAGTTGCTCCTCAGAAACCCTATACAGGGTTGCTATGAATCAGAAACCGACTCAACGATTGTTATCTCATTGGAACTTTGTGACAAATCAAAGGGAAGGTTTTATTATCCATAATGTGGAAACGGCCTCAGAGAGGTTTGGTGACTTCAGAGAGGCCATGCAGCCAAGCTTGAATCAAGGTCCTCTGACCTTCAAGCCTTGACAGCATCATATCATTGGTGAAATTAGTGGACGTCGGGGCATCTGAGTGCAGGATACCTAAGAGAGCATAAAATCTGTTTAGGAAGCAACTGAAACATTCCTGAATTAGATTGAGTCCTATGAAATTATTGCTATTTGACCAGGTTTGACTGGAATAGTGACAATTCCATATGATTCACTCTACTCCTGGTATGGTGCTGTATGAAAAGCACTGGTCCACAAGGTTGGTTTGAACCACAAGGTTAGTGGTTCAAACCCACCAGCTGCTCCTTGGACACACTATACAGGGTTGCTATGAGTTGGAGGTAGACAACTCCAGGGCCCAGAGAGGAGATTATTGGACATGCATGGAATGGACAGTACATTCCACAGGACAGGCACATTTCCGTGAGTTCAGAATGTAGACTGCTTCAAGCTCTGTAGCTCTTTGATGGGGCCTTGGGGATGGGAAGAGGTGGGCGGTCCTCTTGGAAAGGACCATTCCCGGGATGGCTTCTGGTGTTGGCTGGAGCTGTGGTTACCCCTGAAGACTGTGGTGATGGTCATGGAGAGGAACAGGGCATGGCTTGCAATGTGGCCTCATCAGAGTTTATCAAAGGGGATGCAGGGAGCAGGTGGGGGTCAACCAGACCAAGGACAGGATGGATGATTACTCTCCAGAGTCATCTGAGACTTCCTGGGCACACAGATAGGGAGAAGAAGAGGACATCGGGTAAGTGTGGTGGTGGTCTCATGGGTGCTGATGGTCTTGGAGGAGTTTGATAAAAGGAGATAAAGACCAAGATCCAGGGAACTTTCTCTTTGCCTGTGGAGAATGGACCTGGTTCTAAGAGGAGATGTATTTGGGAATTCTTGGGGGGTGGATATAGGCATTCCTGAGTGGCACAGTTCAGTGCTTGGCTGCCTACTGGAAAGTTGGAGGTTCAAATCCACACAGAGACACCTCGGAAGACAGTTCCCTTGACCTACTTCCAAAACACCACAGCCATTGAAAACCCTATGAATGTACACACAATCCCTGTGAGTAGCCATCCACTGGGCAGAAAGTGGCTTGGGACAGAAAAACGGGGGTGAGAGAAGACGGCTGTATTCCCTCCCCAGCCCCATGGAGAAAGACCCACAGGCCAGCGCTGCAGGATTGCATCAGGTCAGACGTGAGGGCTGGAAGGTTCATGGCTCAGGCCACAAAGCAGCATGCAAGAGGAGATGTGGCCTGCAGCTGTCAAAGATGCCACAGCTCAGTGCACCCACGTGGGTGGGCACAGTGACCGGTGGGCAGTCTCATAGTCGGCACTGTGGGCCCCGGAGGGCTGAAGGAGAGTTCTCATAAGAAAGGTGAGCAATGGGAGAACATTGCGATGCTTGGAGGACCCTGGGGACAGTGTGTGGTTTCTGAGCCATGCTCCAAGTCAGCCTGGGGGTCTCAGACATGGCTGGAAGGCCTGTAGTGCCAATATAAGGAGGCTGAGGTAGGAGCCTGTAAGGTGAGGATTTCAGCCAACATTCCATCTTGGAAGAACTCTTTGCGCCTAACACAGAGCCTGAAACACAGTGAGTACCTCATAAATAGGAATTGAATGAATAATGAGAGTACAGTGTCCTTGATTCCTGTCCTTGACTGCCTAGGGTGTAAAGGGGAATGGGGAGGGCAGATTGGCAAGTCCACACTGTCGCTTGGCCAGGTCAGTACAGACTTTATTGTTCAGCAAGGAAGGAGTCCTGGCCGGGGAGTGGGGGGCCTGAGCCTGAGAGGCAGTTACTTTTGTAAGGGGTTCACCACCCTTCCCACAAAGAGGGGGCTCTTGGTCTTCTTATCAAAGATAACCATGAAGAAGGGGTGGTCGAATTTAACAGTGGGAGGTATAGACATGGGGATGGCTTCAAAAACGGTGGCCCCTGTGGCGACGGTGCCTTTCTCATCCATGGTCAACATAGCCTTGTGCACCGCCTGCAGGGGAGAAAGCACAGAGGTGGCTCTGAGGAGGGAGGCAGAGCGGGCTGCACCACCCACTCCCACCCAGCTCTGGAGCAGGGGACGCGCAACGATGGGGTCTTGCCACGATGATCATTAAGGAGCTCTGTCTTGGGAATCATTCCTAGGTTGGAAACAGTGACCACAAACCAAGCAACTGAATCCAGGCTACTTTCTGCCACGTCAGCATTTCCTCTGGAGAACCAAGGGCCATACCCACACCATGGTGGGGATGGGAAAGCGATGCAACTTTCCATCACAAGACTCTGGGTTCAAATCCCGCTCTTCCCACTAGCTGCGCCAATGCAGGGATATTGCTTAGTTTCTTGAAGCCTAGGCTCCTAAGTAGGAAAATCACAGCTGTTTGAGAGACACTGGGAGACACGCAATACATGTATATGTGCATGTGTGTGAGTGTGTGTCACTCTCTGTGTGACTGTGTGTCACCTCTGTGTGCACCTGCATGTATGACTGTGTGTGGAAGTGGTGGTGTGTTTCTACATGCCTGGGTACGAGTGTATTCTGCACGCACACACATATGGATGCATGTGATGGTGTGTGCACACATGTGCATTTGTGTGTTCATGCATATCTGTATTTTCACCTGTATGTGTGTTTACATGTGTGAGTCTGTGTGTGCCTGTGCATGCGTGTGTGCCTACATAGATGGCTGTGTGTGTGAGTGACTGTCTGTTTGCAAATCTGTGTGGGCAATTCTGCATATGTGTGTGTGTGCATGTAATAGTGGTTGCAGGTGCATGCCTGTACATTTGTGTGTGTCCCTGCACACCTATGTATACATGTGTGTGTGTGTGTGTGTGTGCACCTGGACATGCATTCATGTGTGTGCACCTGCGCGTGATTCTATGTGCAGATATGTGTGCATGCATGTATGTGTGAGTTATGTTCTAGTGTGTATTTGTGTATATATAAGCACATGAGTGTATGCATGCGTGTGCCGACATGTATTCATATATATGAACATGAGTATGTATGTATATACATAGGTGCATTTGTGTGTGCATGTGTGTATGTGCATGAGAGACAAGATTGTAAATCTTTAGTTTGGCAACTATTTGCCCTGCTAGTTGGCTATGGCTTAAATCCCCCTCCTCCTGTCCTCTCCCCTTCCCAAGGACGGGCCCTTGACACGCTACTGGGGTCTTCTCCGCCTGTCCTCTCCATTCCTCACTGGTTTCCCCCTGTCTCTTGTTCTCACAAACCCTCCTCCCACTTCTCCAAGCCCACCTGTGCTCACCTCTCCTCTCCCTTTCTGACCTGCATTTCACCACCTCATGGGCCACATCCTCAGCCTCAGGAGATGGGTGTTACTGCCCTCTATCTGTCTGCCATTAGGTTTTAAGCTCTTTGGGACAAATACTGTGATGGTGACATTTAAGGTACAAAGCCAGCCCTTCAGGACAAAGTCAGTCATTAAACTTTGGTGGTTTCATCCATGGCCCATTATCTGCCTGTTTGGCTGACACTATCCATTAATTCTGTCTTGGTGATTGGCCAAGCACCTCCAAATGTCACAGGGGCTGGGAAGGTTTGAGCTCACCGAGCCTCCGCCTCTCTTTGTAAGTATGGGTAAAGTGAGTCAAAGAGAAGGAAAGATGACACAGAGGGTCAGCAGGGACACTGAAATACCAGAAGCCCATGACCGCTAGTCCCTCCAACTGACCATTTGACCACACTCCAATGTAGTAAATCCAAGTGGATTCCTCGGAGGGTCTTGTTTGTGTTCCTTTTGGCCAATCTGTGACTCCTTCATTTTAACAGATGAAGGAACACAACAACCCATTGGGATGATCTCACCTTGGACAGCTTCAGGGGTGCCATAGTAGTGATCCCTGAGAGGTCGGCTGCATTGCTGAAGACCTGGGTGATGCCCAGTTTGCCCAAGAGTTCCTTCAGATTGTAGGACTGAGAGATGGACACTTTGGGGAGGAACACTTTGGCTGACCTGTCATGAAGGAAAGAAGATGGAAGCAGCTCAGAGCATATCTAAAGCCCAGCTCAGCTTGGCTCAACCATGGGACAAGAATGCTTCATTGCTTCCTTTGCTTGAAACCCAAGGATGAGCAGTCAGTATGCATTATTCTAGCTTTGTCTACACATGGGTTCATTTCTTCCACACCAGACTTCACTTTGCTCTGATCAACCATCAACACTCATGGAAGCAGCAGTCAAGAAATCAAATGACGTATTCCATTAAGCAAACCTGATGCACAAGACCTCTTAAAGTGTTGAAGAGCAAAGACGTCATCTTGAGGACTAAGGTGCACCTGACCCACGCCATGGTATGTTCAATAACCTCATATGCATGTGAAAGCTGGACCGTGAATAAGGAAGACCATAGAAGAATTGATGCAATAGAGTTATGGTGTTGGAGGAGAATATTGAAAGTGCCATGGGCTGTCAAAAGAAGAATTAAATCTGTGTTGGAAGAAGTGCAGCTTGAATGTTCTGTAGAAGCTAGAATGGTCAGACTTTATATCTTATACTTTGGACATATTTATCAGGAGGGATCAGTCCCTGGAGAAGGACATCATTTTTAGTAAAGTGGAGGGTCAATGAAAAAGAGGAAGAGCCCCACTGAGATGGATTGGCACAGTGGCAGCAGCAATGGGCTCAAACACAGCAATGATTGTGAGGTTGGCGCAGGACAGGGCAGTGTTTCGTTCTATTGTGCATCGGGTCACTATGAGTTGGTACCAACTTGATGGTACTTAACAACAACACATAGGGGTTCAGAGTGCTGGCACTCAAAAAGGTTGTCTGAGTAAATGTCTCTCAAGGGCAGTCACCTCTGAGAAGCCCCTACAGGCAAAATCAGAATGTCCTTCAAGAAGCAGGTCTTACTCTGAGCTGCTGTGATCTGGTCCTCTCAGCAGACTGGGAGCTCCTCTAGAGCCTCTAAGTCTCTGGTGTGCTGCTTGGGACATGTGGTGGCACTTGCTGAGGGACATTTGTTTATGGGATGAATGATGAGGTTGCATTGTCCAATGGCTCAGTGCCCCATTTCCAGTGACTTGTTCAGTGTTCTTCTCATTCTCTTGGGGTGCTGTGCTAGTGATCCCTAAGAGGTCAGCTCCATTGTTGAAGATCTGCATGATGCCCATTTTGCCCAAGTACCCAAGAGGGGAGTGGTGGTTCCCACTTAAAGCATGAAAATATCTAGTCATAGTTCAACCTGATACTTCATGTGTTCCATCATGTAAATAATACAATAGCTCAGTAGAACATGGGCATATGTATGAATAAGTAAATACACAGGTATACACAGGTCATATTGTGGACTTGATTCTGGACTACCACACACACACACACACACACACACACATATATGTATATATATGTTTGTATATATATTTTGGTTCCTCAGTGCATAGATGAATTATGTTGGCTATGCTAGTTGGAATCCTACTGTGACATTTTAGGATAAGCCTCCGACTGAGAGGTCAGTTAGAACCGCAATAGCATTAAGAAGAATAAAATGTTGTGAGAATAACCAAAATGGAGCACAGAGGCACAAAATAAGCACATGCCTACTGGAGTTCTGATGTGGCGCTGTTGGATAAGCATTGGACTGCTAACAACAATGTTGGCAGTTTAAACCCTTGGAAACCCTACACAGGGTCACAATGAGTCGAAACTGCCTCGACAGCACTTAACAACTACATGGGAAAAATGATGTCAACAGATTTCCTTGATGCAAGATTGACACGGACTTTCCATCTGTCAAAGACTCTATGGTTGTGCAACTCAAAAGCGCAAAGCACAAGACGAGATGTGCCTGTATGTGTATTTGTGTGCATTACCAGGACACTCTGACCAAGTGGAACTGGGACACACATTCCACAAGCATGTCCTTAGCTTCCTGACTTCTGAGACTTTGCTTTTGCCAGACTTTCTCTAAGTAAACTCATGTCCTGTCTGTCCACTGACACTCCTTTAAGTCCAACTGATGGCCACCATGACCTGGAAGGCCCTGTCTAGTCTTGGCTCTCCCATAACATTGATGTTTTCTCTCCTTGAACCCAAAGGTCAGTATCCATGCTCAGGGGCATGTCCCAGAGGACAGGGCCTTGGTCACTCACACAGTATCCAGTTGGTGTAGACACAAGGCCATCTACAGCAGTTGGGGCTCTGGGAATGTGATCTTGATTTGGGGACTCACCTCATGTACTTGTGGTCCACAATCTTGTGGAAGGAATCCATGGTGAGGCCTGCCTCCAGCTGTTGCATCTTGCCCTGCTCAGGCAGGATGAAGATGGCTGTGACATTGCCCATGTAGTCCATGTGCAGTACCCAGCTGGACAGCTCCTCCTGGTAGTGGACATTGAACATGCCCAGGCGCCTCATCATGGGCACGGTGACTGTGGTCGCCTCATCCACGTGGAAGTCTGCATCTTCAGTGTGCTCTTCCTGGAAGGGTTTTTTCCATTTGCCTGGAGACAGAAGACATGGACATCAGTCAGGGCTGGGGTCAAGATTTAGACCCCATGGCTCAAGGTAAATTCTGAATGTCTGGTGAGCTACTTCTCTCTAACCCTCAGTGTCTTCATGGGACCAAAACAAAACCTAATCAGCTCCTAAAAGGGTTTTTATGCAGCACTTGAAGCTTGAGGAGAATCCCAAATAGCTGTAGAGGTTCAGGGGGCACCAACCTGCTTGGGCAGGGGCTACAGCTTTGTCTTGCAACTGGCTGTGTGCAGAATAAGAATTGTTATGACCTTTGTGTTTCTTGGGGTGCCCAGTAAAAATTCCCAGGGGAAGTCTGAAGTTCCCCAAGCCATATCTTTGCACCATCCTGTCTTGTAAAGGGCAGTTCAATCGGTTTTCAAGAGAAATATTCTTGTAACCATTTAAAAGGCCTTTTCCTGAACAACATAGGAAATGCAGGTGCATGGAACCCCTTTTTTTCCCTACACCAGAAAAGCATCACCACCATGGCTGGTCCGATGGATGAGGGACCACTGAGCCCAATGTTCTCAGGGATGGGAAGGTGAGACTAGATCAGAGAGGGAATGAAGCCTGCCTGAAGTCACACAGCAGAGCTGGGATTTCAGTTGTACTGGTCACAGCCTCATTGGACCACTCTACCTCCAGAGGAAGGGAGCTGACCTTGTGAAGCAAGTGGTCCTTTGCCTGGAAGTCAGCCTCCCCACCCCAACTGATTTCCACGGGATACCCCAGCCAACTGCCATGCGATACTTCAAACAGTGCTTCTACTCACAGGCTCAGATAAGAGTTGATCAGTGTACCAATCATGTGTTGTGTACAACCCTGTATTCTTTTTAACTTTTCAAACCAAAAACTAGTTGCTGTTGAATCACTTCCAACTCATGATGACCCCAGTGTCCGACTAGAACTGTACTCCACACTCCACAGGGCTTCTAATGGATGGTATTTTTGGAAATAGATCATCAAGACCTTCTTCCTAGGTGCCTCTGGGGGGGGTGGGGGGGACTTGAACCTCCAGCCTTTTGGTTAGCAGTCTGTTTACACCAACTCCCTAATTTATTTAACCCTTACAACCACTGAGCTCACGAGTTGCATTATTTCCATATTATAGATAGAAAACTAGAACCTCAGAGAGGTAAAATGACTTGCCCATGGCCATGCAGCTTGAAATGGTAGAACCAGGATTTGAATCCAGGTCTTTCTGACACCAAAGCCAAACATTCTACCAGGGGTCTCAAACGTAGATTCCATGGAACATTATTTCTTTCAGTTGATCTTTTAAAAAAAAACTTCTGACTCTAAAGTTTGGGAAATATTACTCATTTTACCCACTCCCCCTGGTAGAGATTTGTAATATCCATTGGGGTATTCAAGGCTCTGAAAAGTCCTGTACAGAAGCTAGTTTGACTCTGTTTAACTCAGTATACCCCAAACACACTTGGTTATGGAAGAATTCTTACTGGTTGTGCATGGAAAATGCCAAGACACGTGCCGAGATATATCACCAGTGGGAGTTTAAGAACTGAGTGTTGGATAAGATTTTTGGAAGTTCCCAAGGGAACAAATTTAGACAGGTTGTGCAACTTACCTTTAAAGAAAATGTAATTCACCATAGCAAAAACTGTGCTTTCGTCAAGCTCTTTGATTAAATCCACAATTTTTCCTTGGGTTCCTTTTTCCACGTAATCATTGATCTGTTTCTTGGCTGCTTCTGTGTCCTTAAAGTTGACAGAGAAGGCTTCCGAGTGGTACAACGTCTTGGCATCCTCCAAAAACTTTTCCACTAGCTTCATACTCTCGTTGACGAACAGCCCATTGCCGGTGGTCAGCTGGAGCTGGTTGTCCGGATGGTTGATGGTATTGAGGAGGTGTTGGAAACTTTCATGAATCTCGGCCTCAGATATCTCTGTAAGGTTGAACTCTAGGCCCTTCAGGATCTGGGCCTGGGTGTTAGATCTGGTGCCCAGCGAAAGCAGTGCAAAGGCTACAGCAATACTCACGGGAGAGAAGATGATGTTGGTGGTATTGGATGTATTGGCCACCTCATGATATAGACTGAAGGCGAAGTTGGCCAGGTTTGGGGAGATCTTGTGGCAGGTTGGGTGCTGGTCATGTTTGGATGCATCTGTTTCCTGGGCAACGTCTCCCTGGGGGCTTTCAGCCAGGGAGCTGGGTACCAGGCAGCACAGGCCTGCCAACAGAAGGAACCTCCAAAATATGGAGGTCAGCATTGTCCTGCAAGAGAGACAAAGGGGGGCACTGAGCCCAGAGTCGGACACATGCTAGCACCAGGTACTAAAAAGCAGTTTATTAACTGCCAACCGTGTACCAGGTTGTGTTGAACATTTCCTTATTTCATCATCACGGAAAGAACAAGAAAAATACCACAAAAGGATATGTTTTGGTAAGTGCTGTTGAATTGATTCCAACTTATTGCGACCCTGTATGATAGGGTTTCCAATGAGGGACTGGTGGGTTTAAACCGCCAACCCTGTGGTTAGCAGTCCATTGCTTATCCTACACTGCCACACCAGGGCTCCACAAAGGGTTCTAGGATTTGTCATATGCCAAGCACTGCTCTGCCTACTTTACTTGTCTTCACTCATCTAAGCCTTCCAACAATCCTACAAAGGAGGTAGTAATTCTAGTCCCAATTTACAGATAAGGAAACCAATGCCCACACAGGTGGAGCTACCTGCTTAGAACCACAGAACAGGTCAAGCTCTCAGATCCAGAACCATAAACCCAAGCAGTCTGGTCCAGAGTCCATGTTCTTAATTCCTTTGCTGAAATCTTACAAGGACCCTAACTGTTAAATGCAGCTCTTACTTTGCAGGGGAAGGAAAGAGGTTTGGAAAGCAGAAGAGAATGACCCATGATTACCCAGGAAGTGGGCCAGGCCAGGATCCGACAGGACTTTGAACTGGGATAGTCCATGAAGGTCTTCCATCCTACCCCATTCTTTACAGCATGGTGAAACTGCTGTCCAGAATGGGAAGACACTACCCCAAGACACGTAGTTCAAACATTCCAGGGCTGGGATGAAAATTCAGGGTTCCTGGCTCTCAGCCAGCTCCGCTCCAATTCCACATACTTTGTGGACCAACTATAATCCTGATGTTAAAGCCCCTTTTAGCTGGAATTTGATTATTCTCTAAGTCCTAACTTGCTCCCCTGCCCCATAAAAAAACAAACTAACCCAGTACCATTGAATCCATTCAGACTCACAGTAATCCTGTAGGACACCGTAGAACTATTCCATAGGATTACCAAGACTGTAAATTGGTATGGATGCAGACTGTACATGGCCCCTCTTTCTCCCACAGAGTGGTTGGTGGGTTTGAACCACCCACCTTTTGGTGAGCAGGCAAGGTTTAACCACTGTTCCACCAGAGTCCTTTCTACAACTCTCCAGGCCTGGGGAATTCTGGTAAAAATAGGGGAGCCAGCACCCATCTTTGGGGCTTGGGCCTCAAGTGTGTCTTGCTATCCCTGTTTTACGTGATGTGAAACATGAGACCCACACAAATGGGCTGGGGTTCCTGTAGTCAGTTCACCTGACCCGTCATTTAGCATGTGCTTGTACCAGGAAACCCAGTGTGTGTCTGTTATACTGCAGGGAGTTAAAAAAAAATCCTTGCGTTCATACAGTCCTGGGTTCTAGTCTGATCCCTGTTACTTACAAGCTGTGTGACCTAGAACAAGCCATTTAATCTCCCTGATCCTTATTTGGTCTCACCTGTAAAATAAGATTATTGTAACAATGAAGTAAACTAAGTCCAGATGCCAAACTCAAGAGCTGACAACAAGTCTTCTCGGGGAAAGGGTGGCAGGGGTCCCAGCTCAAAGCTGACAGGGCCAGGCATGTGTAGTTCAAGACAGGGGGTGAGCAATAAGGGAGTGGCAAGGCCTGTGGCCAACCAGCTAGTCTAGGCTCTATCCAGAGAAGGACAAAGTCAGTGCCATACCCAGCAACAGAGTCACTCCGTCCCATTGAACTCTCTTCTCTTAATTCAGCCAGACCTCAGCCATGGATGTATGTTGTTGTTGTTGTTAAGTGCCGTTGAGTTGGTTCCGACCCATAGAGACCCTGTACAGGGTTTACGGGAGTAGAAAGCCTCATCTTTCTCCTGCAGAGCAGCTGGTAGTTTCGAACCGCTGACCTTAAGGATGTATAGCCCTCCCAGTCTCATCTCAGATGGGGAAACTGAAGTCAAAATAGAAAATAATGGGCTTGTGGACATACAACCAGGGTGGTGGAGGTGGTGATGTGCTGTGGAGTCGGTTCCAACTCATAGCAACCCTGTACAGGGTTTCTGAAGAAGAAAGCCTCATCTTTCTCCTGCAGAATGACTGGTAGTTTCGAACTGCTGGCCTTGATGTTAGCAGCCTGACTCGTAACCACTATGCTATCATATGGAGTCCCTTCTGATTTGTGATGACCCTGTAGGACAGAACTGCTCCTTAGGGATTCAGAGCTGTTGTCTCTATGGCGTGGCACAGAGGGTTAATGTGCTGCACTGCAAAGTTGGTTTGAACTGCAAGGTCGGTGGTTTAAGCTTACCAGTCACTCCTCGGAAACCCTATACAGGGTCGCTATGGGTCCAAACAGACTTGAAGATACTTAACAACAATGATCTTTATGGAAGCTGTCACAATTTTCTCCCTCAGAGCGGCTGGTGGGTTTGAACCAGTGACCTTTTGGTTAGTGGCAAACCACTTACTCCCTGTACCTTCAGGGCTCCTTCCAAAGAGAAAGTAGTCCTTGAATATGAGATATGAAGGCCTGATGGGAAAAAGCTGAGAAATACAAAAGTTGAGTCTCTTCCACCTCCTGGAGTTGGTTTAACAGTTTGTTCCTAATATAAGACCAGAATAAAGCTCAAAACCGGTTCCCCGCCAGCGCCTTCTCTCTGGCCTCTAAATAATCCAAATGGAGCAGATTGAACAGTGTATAATAGCTGTTGATATTTTTCTTAAAGTAGCCATGGGGTTCAGAGCTGGAGAAGGCGCTAAACTTAATCCTCTACGTTTCCAAAGTCCTCAGCATTCTCGCTCACTTCCTAGCTGGGTTCCGGTTCAGCCTTCCAGAGTTTATGGAAATTCCCCCCTTCTTTCAGGGCTCAGAGATCAGAAGGGGCTTGGGCCTAGGCTGGGATAGGAAGGTAAATGTGACCTGGGTTCCACCATCCAGACAAGGCCACAACTGTACACTGACCTACACAAACAGCTTCTCTTTTCAAGGCCTCGCTGCCCCCAACTGTGCAAAGGGGGCCAGGCTGAAGTGAGGTCCCCCATCTCAGTCTAATGGTGAACTCGCAATTAGAGAATGATTCTAATTGCGAATTCCTGTGGGGCTGGATGGATGAGGTGCCCCTGCTGACCTCTGTGTCAAGGTGAGGCTGGTAGGGCTGGGTAAGAGGGCTGCATTGGGGCTGCAGCCAATATGCACGAGCCCCTCACCCACCTCCTCGGAGCCTGGTGCTGGGGAGGCCAGCAGAACTGAAAGAGTGAGTGGAGCAGCACCCAGAAATTTGCAGGCACCCGGCCAGCCACCCAACCCAAAGAATGGGGTCTCATAGTGACGTTTCTGGCATCTAGGCCAGAGGTGGGCAGGGGGGTGACAAGAGGGAGCCCTTTGTCCAATCTCACATGATTTCTACCCAGGAATGACCAAGAGGCAGAAGCTCCAACCTGCTGAAACCCAGGTACTCTAGGTTCAGTGGGACCCCCCAAAAGAGATCTTTAGGACCTAGCCCTTTACCTGTGACTGTGCCCCTGTTTGGGGAAATGGGGGTTTCCTTTGTTCTCAGTGAGTCAAAGGAAGTCACACATGAGTAGGGTGGGGCCTAGTCCTAATTTGGAGTGACATCTTATTAAAACGGGAGGTAGATACCAGAGGCAAGTGCATCTATAAGCAGCAAAGGCACGCCAGGCTTCACCCACAGCCACCAGAAACCCAGAAAGACCCCCAGCAGGAATCAATACAGCTAAGACCCTGATTTGGACATCTGACCTTCAGGACTATGACAAAAGAAAGTTCTGTTCCTTAAAAAAAAACCCACTTGGTGACATTTTGACCATCGAATGGATTCTGACCCATAACCCTTAGCCCTCTGTAAGCCTGGGTGTGATCCACACTGACACTCATGGGCTTTGTGGCCTCGGGTGAGTGCCGTTACCTCTCTGAGCGGAGATTCCTGTCTGACTGACAGCTGGCAGATGTAGAGTGGGGTCCCTGCTCAGCCACGAACTGCCTCTGAGTCTGCAAAACTTTATATTCATTTCTCTAAGCATTGATTCCTTAATTACCTAACTCTATGCTTGCTGTAGGATAAACACTGGATTGTTGTTGTTAAGTGCTGTCAAGTCAATTCTGACCCATAGCGACCCTGTATAGGGTTTCCAAGGAGCAGCTGGTGAGCTTAAACCACCAACCTTGCAGTTCAGAACACTGGATTACTAACCCCAAAATTGGAAGTTCGAATCCACTAAATGAGTCTTTCTGCTCCCATAAAGATTTAGTCTGGGAAACCCTATACAGGGTTGTTATGAGTCAGATTCAACTTGATAACACTTAAGGATTTCTGGTAATACTATAGGATCAGCACTGGGTTGCTAAGCATAAAGTTGGAGGTTCAAATCCACCAGCTGCTTATGGGAGAAAGATGAGGCTTTCTGCTCCCGTAAAGATTTATAGCTTCAGAAATCCTAAAACAGGGTTACCATGAGTCATGATTAACTTAATGGCGGTGCATAACTGTCTGTCGTTATTAGCAAACATCACCAACATCACTTGCTAAACATCTGGTGTCTCATCCAAGTTGTCTCATTTAATCTGCCCTTCAAGCTTACTCTTGAATTATTAATGGCCCCATTTTATAGATGGAGAAATTGAGGCACAGTAGAGATTAAGGAGCTTACTGAAAACCACCAAACGAGATGCTTTCAGAACCTGGATTCATCCTAGGCATTTAGATTTCAGAACCTCATTTCACTACCTTTAACCCTTCTCTAAGGGGCTCTGGTAGCATAGTGGATTATAAGCTGGGCAGCTAATCGCTAGGTCAACAGTTCGAATCTACCACTCACAGCACAGGAGAAAGATCTGCTCCTGTAAGGATTGGAAACCTTATACGGGGTTAAAACTGACTCGGTGGCACATAACTACCACCACCAATCTTTCTCTGTGTAGAGCTGGAGTTCCTAGTTGGTGCAAATGGGAAACAGT